TACAGTGATCCAAGCCAAGTTCTTCTCCTCTTTTTCTTTTCTACCGAATCTTGCGGCGTGTGTGGCCGTGCGGGGTTTGGGAGTGTGTTGCTGTTCGGAAGTACTCCTTTGGGGCCCCGCCTTATCCTGGTGTTGGCTCTGCACCGTACCGTCCCGTCCCCGTACGCTCGAGCTGGCGCTGTGGTGTGGTGTGCGGTGTTGTGCTGTGGTTTGCTTGTTTGTTTGTTGGCCGCCTCACGCGGCTGCAGGAGTCTGGTGATTTGGACGGCCAAGTCGGCTACATACTGACATACCCTTGTTGGTGGTGGCTGCTCGGTTGGAGAGAGGGAATAATTTCCAGACGACGTCTTTGCAACGCTGGTGGGTTTTATTTGTACTTCTTCTTCTTCTTCTTCTTCTTTTGTTGGGCGGGTTTTTGGGCAAGAGCGCGGATACGGTTGGCTTGTTGGATGGAAGCATGCATTCTTATACTCAGCCCCAATTTGCGCCCGATCACGATAGACATGAGTCGGGACATCGGGGGCCGTTGAGTAGGACGTGGCCGCAGATATTCAAGAAGAGGAGGAGATATAGTCCTGTGAGGGAGAGTGTGCAGCAACAACAGCAACAGCAACAACATCAACAACATCAACAACAACATCAACAACAACATCAACAACAACAGCAACAACAACAGCAACAACAACAGCAACAACAACAGCAACAACAACTCCAACATCACCATCATGGTCCGCCCCAAACCTCAGGGCAAATACCCAGTACACACCGTCCCCCACAACCACCTCCACTCCAACCTCCACCTCCACCGTCCCAACACCAACCGCAGAACCAACAACCCATGCAACTCCCAATCCACCCCATCCGCCCCTCTGCGCCATCCACATCTGCGTCGCTTCGGTCGCCGTCACTGGCAGCAGACACCGCGAGCACCATGTCCACCATTTCCCACGCCTCCTCGGCACCCTCGAAGAAAGTCCCGATTGCGAGACGGAAGAGCTCGATTGCGCCGGCTGAGACGAACGGTATGTGACTTTGTTATAGGCGTGGTTTTTTACAGTACTTGTTTGTCTTTTTTTATCATCTTGTGAAGTCGAACTATCAAGATTCTCTCTTCCCATTCACACTTGTCCACTCCACCAATCCACCCTCTTCCCCTCCCATGAACCCTCTCCCCTTCTCTCCCTCTCCATCCCCCCCCCCACTCACCACACCCAAACTAACCCCCCCGCCCACCTCCAGTCGCCGGCGGCGTAAAAACCCCCCAAGCCGACCTCCTCGCCTCCAAATCAAACTACGAGCTCATCTCCACGGGCCAACACCTAGAAATGGGTCTACACTTCAGCACCGCCATGGCCACGGGCGTCATGATGAAACGCGCCACCCACCGCGCCGCCGAACAGGCCCGTCGCGATCGCATGAAGACCGCAATGGTCGATCTCGCAGAGTTCTTGCTCGATGGCGAGGTCACGTTTGGGAGTGGGACTACGTGTTTTGTGGTTATGCGTGGGGGCAAGGGGGGGGAGGGGGTTGATGGGGTTGGAGAGGAAGAGGAGGGGGAAGGGGAGGCCGAGGACGGGGATGATGCGTTTGCGGGTTCTGGGTCTGGGTCTGGTCGTGCCGGACCGGGTGCTGGAGCTGGAGCGACACCCACGCGCGGCGAAAAGCAATCGAGACGCAAAACCGCGCCATACCACACAAGCCTCGTCGCCTTATTGCAAGCTAC